AGACCTACATTGGATTTGAATGGAGGCATGAAAGTGCAACTTTGTTCTCCTTTGCGTACCTTATTCGTGTAACTGATCTTTACTGAGCCTTCCTGGCTCTGTTCTGGAGAGCCCGGCAAGTGCCACAGAGTCAATGTGCTGGAGACACATCCCTGAGGATCTTGCTTAGTATAAAAATGAGGAGACAAGGAAATATTCAGTTGTGATGGCTGCTATGGGAAAAGTAAGACTGGCTTAGGTGAAAGGAATGGGCAGTTTAGAAGTGTGGATGCTGAGACGCTATTTCAGGGAGGCGTGAGTGGTAAGGGGTCAGCAGACAAAAATCCATAATCCAGCTTGCTCTGGAGGAGACTCAGAGTGCCCAAACCAGTAACAACCTCCATTTGCACCTTGTATTTCTATTACTGGGGAACTCTGAAGGCAGTCTTGGAGCAATCGGGGCCCAAGAGAGTTAGGCAGGAATCCCTCAGGTTGTGTGTCATATTTTTCAGGCAGCTGGTTTCTTTCACTAACTGCTTTCTTTCACTAAAACTCTTCTCATCATTCAACTTGTGTACGCACTCACCAGCTCACCCACCAGCCGGCCAGTCTGAGGGTAGGGACCTTACCTTATCCTTAGTATCCCAGTCCCAGTACCACGGTGCTCACTAGCTATTGTTGTTTTGCAGACACAAAAGACTTCAATAACCTTGAGCTTACGAGAGGCCACCTTGCTCTATGTGTGTCTGTGTGTCTGTGCACACGTATGTGTGGTCACCAGTGACCATTCCACACTGTAGCCCTCAGTGAGAGCCTAAGCTCCACCCCATAATGGGATACAAGCAATGATACAGCTGTTTAATGACCTGAAAGATGACCACTACATGTAGCCTGTGATTTTATTTCAAGATAAATAAGTTATCACTCCATGAGAATCAGTCAGGAGGAGGCAGATGCACTGAGCTGGTAAGGAAGGCCAGTTCTAAATGCCATTACTAGACATCACTGTATCCAAATGCCATTACTAGACACCACTTGAATTAATGCTAAAGTGGAATGAATCACTTCGAGGACCCCAGGAATCTGTTTTTTTAATATGTTCCTCTGGGGATTTGTTTATATTTGGGAAGTTGAGAAACATTATTCTCTAACTTTAGATTATAGGCTCTTTTATTTTAAGTCACTATATTTGTAGCTCTATTTGTATTGCTTTTACTATCAAAAAACTATGGGATTAAAAAAAAACAAACACATACAACCCACAAGCAACGTCAACCTTTTCCAATCAAGTAGAGTCACATTGGTTTCTGTTGCATCCATGTTGTATGCTGCAAAACAGAGACCCTTTGGGCAAAAGAATCTTTTAGCAGTTTCTTCTGGATAGTGGCTGAATTTAAGTCCCACTTGCTGCCTCCTTCCTGTGTGGTCTGTGTGGAGACCAGTACAGGAGGCCTTCCTCCTCTCCTAAAAGGACTTTGGAAGCGGGGCCTGGGGATCTGAATCCTTGCCCAATCCCATGGAGAATTGAAGGGGGATTCTAGAAGCTGAGTGTGCTCCTCCCATACTCCTCTTCCTTTGAAGTTTGTTTTCTTGGGAACTAGGGGAGTCAAAAGCAGCGGGTTTTGAAGACCAGGAGAGGAGGTCATGACTAGGAGCTGGGGATATTCCTGTGTCTGTACTGGGCTGGAGCCACAGCTGGCATGAAAAAAACTCCAAAAACCTCTTTCCTTTCATTTTTGTAGCCCCTTCGCTAAGCTGACAGGCGCCAGCTTATCTGGGTCCAGAAACATCAGACAGAAGTTTCCATGACAACTCAAAACTTCCTCGTTGGCCCTATATTCAGCCTCAATCTTCAAGGCCCCTTTTCAAGGCCTCAGTGAGGTTTCTGAGAAGCCACCCACAAAACAGCCCTAGCATCCGACCTTCTCCCCACCCCCAGTATGCTCTGTTGAAAGGGCATGAGGGGAGAAGCTGTCCTGGCAGAAACTCTTGTCATGGGATACTTGGAGAGATTATGAAAGGAATGAGAATTGCCTTTACAACAAGTTTGAACCAGGAAGAATTTAGCTAGTAGGGGGATTTCAAGTGTGAAAATGGGCAAGTGTGAGGGAGTGGGGAATAACTAAGAGTCTTGTTTCAGAAAGCTGGCTCTCACCCAGCTGCAATTAGGCATGGTTAATCTGGTCTCTTAGCAGCAGAAGGACCTCAAGGTACCCACCTCCGCTCAGCACATTTTAATCCACTTGTCACCAGACAAGAGATGGACAACAGATCTAGGGGTGGGGAGTCGGGTGTTAGAGTGGGGGTGCCTGGGGATGTGCATGTGTATAGAGGGGAACTTGGCTGAACCACAGTTTGTTAAGTCAAACATGTGTCTTTGAATCCTGGCGGTGGGGTTGCCAGATGTGGCAAATAAAAATGCACCATGCCCAGTTAAATTTGAATTCAGATACACAATACATTTTTCAGTTAAGAATAAGCATTTTCAGGGCCCTCCCTGGTGGCGCAGCGGGTTAAAAGCACAGCACAAAGAAGCTTAAGCCACTTCTACATGAGTTCAATCCCTGCCTGCCCTGGAGGAGATCCACATGGCGAGGCAGACCTCTCCTGACCCGCCCGATGCTCCCCTCAGCAGTGTACTTCGTAGATCTGCCTGTTCTGCATCCCACTCTGTCTCTGATGAATCCTCTCACCCTCTGCATCTCTGGCCTGTACCCCAGTTCTGTATGAATAAGTAAATCTTTAAAAAAAAAAAAAGAATAAGCATTTTCAGGCACAAGTACATTCATGCAACATTTGGGATATATTTAGACTAAAATATTATTTGTTGTGTATCTGAAGTTCAAATTTAACAGTGCACCCTGCATTTTGTCGGCAAGCTTTCTTGGCAGGCAGGCATGGAAGTGAGGACGGACCTGCAGAGAAACACAGTCACTGATGTGCTCAAGCACCTGAGAAGGTGTTCCTCTGTCCATGCTGCAGAGAGTAACTTCCCTCCCTGCCAGGAACCTGGCCTGAGCTCCAGCTAGGGTGCTGGAATGATCTTGGGGGTGGGGGCCTTCACTGCAGCGCTTCCCTGGCATAGCCCCATGTGCAGTATCCCCTTGGGCCATCCCCTCTTCCTGAGTGGTTAGGAGCATGGCTTCTGAAGCTAAGGCGGGTAGCAGTCTTTTGCTGGGCATCTGGGTGACCTTCAGCTCCCACTTTGCTCATTGCTAAGATGGAGCAGACATTATTTTGAGGACCAGGGGAGATACAGCATGGAGCACCTTAACATAGTGCCTGCCACAGAGCCGATGCCACAGAGTGAGCACAACCTAGTGAAGAGCATTAAAGATTGTCATCCAAGTTAAAAAGAAAGTGAGATTAAAGACTATACATTTCATCAATGTATGGACACACAATTGCACATTAGTAACTATGCAGAGCCAGAAAAAGATGTCTCTAGTGGGGTAGGAAAGGTCCCTAGACATCCAGATGGGGGGTGGGAACAAACTGGGGAGAGAGCACAGTGGGCTGTGGTGCTAGACTAGGGGTGCCTTATGGTGGGTGTGCTGTGGCCTGGGGGAGGTCCTGGACTAACCAGACACTAACAACAGGAGACCGGGGACCCTTCACCTAAAGCGAAAGGAGTAAGAGAGAAAGGGAAGGACGCAAAGAAGGGGGGAGGGGAGAAGGGAGGAAGCCTTAGCAGGCCAAGGGAAATCTAAGTAAGCTCTCTGAGCCCCGGTTTCCTCATCTGTCAAGTAGGGAGGACAACGAGAAGTGACCTTATAGGTTTGTGAAGGCTGAACGGCCCTGTAGAGCCTAATGGCTGTAAATGCTCCCTCCTGGCTCCTAGCCGAGTGTGGCGTGCACATGGCAAGCACGTGGTCCCTGGGAAGAGGAGGAGAGGTCTGCTCTTCTGGAGGACTTGAGAGCCAGAAATGTTATCTTTTGAGTGAGGCTCACAGCCAGCTCTAAGCTAGAGGGAACACAGTCTTCAGATTAGGGACACTTCCTCCTTGGCCTTGTGAAGATAGGATCTGGGAGGCAGAGAGCTTTGTGGGGAAATCTCTGAATCTGACGTGTGAAATCTCTGAAGTCTGACTCATTTGCTTATAGACTCCTCTCTTTCTGCTGCACCCCCCACCAGCTTTTGCCCCCTCTAGGAAGGTGCCACCAGTCCTGAAGTCTTGGCAGTTGTTGATTTTAGATTTAGAGGACGTTTGTCCCAATGTTCCCAAGTAGTAACTCTGCGGTGGGATCTTCCCAGGGCAGAGCCAATTTAAATAAGAGACAGTCAGCCCCAAGGCAGACCCTGGACAGGCCAACCAGCAGGGACTCCTGCAAGAGACCCATTTTCATTTTCCCACATGTATCCCTCCAGAGTAGGAAAAACCAAAACCAAAAACCAAAACTGCAGCGACAGTAACAATGCCCCAGACACTTACTGTGGGTCTTCTTTTTCTTTCTTCTACACCCCTGGTTTCCCACAATATTTTGGCAGTGAGCATGAATTATGTTTGTTTCATTTTTCTAAATAACAAGCCTCTTACTGGCCTGAGAAGAAAAGTACTACATGCATACTGCAAATTAGTAAACACAAAGACATAAATAGAAAAAACATCTGTCATCCAACACCCATCTTCAAAAGCAACCTCTGTGCGTTTCTTTCCAAATCCTGTTTCTTCTTAAAGGGGGGATGGGAAAGAAGGGGAAAGGGTGGGGGTGAGAGAGACAGCGAGACAGAGAGAGATAATGCAAGTAAGAGGAAGCAATTCCCTTAAGGATAGATCCCTAAAAGGGAGGATGTAGGAAGGAAAGAAAGAGAAAGGACAGGGGGGAAGTAATTAAAAAGAATGAAAGAAGGAAGGAACGAGGGAAGGAAAAAATAAAGAAAAGGAAAAGAGGATAGGGAAGTAGCTAGGACCGAGGCTCCCCGTGGCTGGTCAGGGCCAGTGAGTGGTGTGTCCGATCCTGTGGTGCTTGCGCTCACCCCCGCGGCGGCCGCCAGGGTCGGGTGAAGTCGCCCCACTTACCCGATCTGAGCAGCACCGCCCGATAGAGCCCAGTGGCCTCGGCGGCGCCCCGTGCCCTCTCCCCCAGCCTCTGCGCCATGGGCCCCGGCGCCTGACTGCTGAGCTGCGCTGCTGGGCCGGAGCGCACGCGGGAGCTGTCTGGAGCCCCAGCGCCACCGCGCACTGACGCGGCCTGAAGTTCCGAACTCTGCCGCGGGTCAGGTTACCTTGAGGGCTCAGCGGGGAGTCTCGCGCCAGGGTGGGGGGTGGGGGTGGGTGAAGGGGCGGTACCGGGCAGTGGCGAAGGCAGGTATCCCTGTCCAGGCAGCAGACCCGGTGTAGATAAGCGCTGGGCAGGAGCACTCCTGATTCAGGGTTCCAGGGCGAGACCTGGTGTCCTGATTTTTAGCTTCCACCTCCCACCTATGCGTCTCCATTTTCCTGGGTGCTGAATGCTACCAGCAGGTGTGGGGTTCTGAAATGCCATGCTTGCTATCTGATCCTAGTGCCACCAATTAAGAGCTCTGTGACCCCATGATTTAATCACCCATTTTACAGTCTCAGTTTCCTTAATTGTAAGGTGGGGGTAACCATAGCACATGTCCTGTTGTCCTGTGAGGACAACTGTTTTTTGTTGTCTGTCTGTCTGTCTATCTATCTGTCTGTCTGTCTGCCTGTCTGTCTGTGTGTCTGTCTGTCTGTCTGTCTGTGTGTGTGTTTGTCTATCCATTCATCCATCCATCCATCCACCCACCCACCCACTCACCAACCTACCAACCGATCTATCTATTCTCTCAAGTGTGGTTAGCACAGAGCAAACACTATATACTGTGGTTAAAAAAAAGTTGTTCCAAGGCATCCCGAGTATGCCCAAGTGGGTAGCTCTGAGGCACAGGCGGAGGAAGTTGCTATGGGATTCCAAAAAGTGGGTAGTTCTGGTTTTGCCAAGCCTCTATAGCCATCAGGGATGGGAGAGCCAAACAGAAGAATTGAAAGATAGAAGAACAATGTAAAAACTGATAATTTTGATAACTTGCTAACTTTGTGTCTGGTGCTGTGCCAAGTTTCTTGTAAAATAACTAATGATTTTTGTGGGCCTTATGTCCTATTTTGTTTAATTGTCCAAATCCTATGAGTTAGGCCTTATTGGGATTTTTTTAACAGATGTGTAAACTGAGGCTCAGAGGGGTTAACCAACTACTCTGAAATCTCATTATGGAGTTGGGATAAAGCACAGATATTCTTAGCTCAGACACCAGCACTCTGTTCTGCTGTCTCTTTTGTCTCTTTTCTTCAGAAAATCATAGAGGTATTATCTCCACTTTAGAGATGAGGTAAGTGGGACTCATAGAGGTGAGGTGGCTTGCATATGCTCATAGAGTTAGCTGGAGGTTCCAAAATCCAATCCCGTTCTCCACCCACTAAACTAGTGTCCCCCCAATCTATAGACCCCATGGAGCTGTCCAGGGTACTGGATGACCGCTGTTGAAGGCTTTGCCTGTGTGGGTCAGAGAATATTAAGTGGGCTGTTGGAGCTCTGCCTCTGTGTCCTCTCCAATCTTGGCTCCTCCTTTGCCAAATGCCAGCCAAGCACTCAATGGCTGGTCCTTGGCTATGGCCCAGGCCCAGCTCTATTCTGACTGAGAGGTCCTTGTACTTTTCTGTTCTTCAGACATCACTTGGGGGTCACAAGGGCCCATGAGACACACTTTGATCTTCAGGGACTTCACTGATTGGCCAGACTGATTAGATCACTCATCAATATCTGGCCACCATGCATTCCAGGCATGATGCCAAACATTTGGAATTTATTAGTTCATATACATTTTTCAGAGGAAGAAATTATATTCGACTCACCATTCATCTCATTTAATCCACTCAATTGTTCTGGGATGAAACTATGGTTTGCCTCTTTTAGAGATGAGGAAAATAAGGTTCATATACCTTGTCCAAGAATTTGTGGAATTTGAGCTCAGAAAGTGCCAAAGCTTTTACTGTGAAAGGGGCTGAGGAACCAAGTCAGCTATTGAGCATGGTGATGGTTCGGGATAATTGTGACTAAAAAATGGCTTTTACAGAGCATCCCAAGGGTTGAAATCTAGTTGCGTCTCTGAGGAATTCTAGGTGGGTCTGACTTACCTGGGTCATTTAGTTTCTGCTTTGCATTTTCAGTATGAAATCTGGCCTGAGGAGAGTATTCTTTCTGTGAACAGAAAGTAGGTGGAGGTGAGGACACTCTGTTCCTTGGAAGGGGGAAATATTCATAGTGTCCTTCAGGGGACTGGTCAGAACCTAAGTCCTTTCTAGAGGAACAAATTACTGTAGTGCTTGGAGGGTGTGGAGAGGAAAGAGTGTTGGGAAGGAGAAATTTATAAAACTCATGCTCTTTTATTTTTTAAAGGTAAATTTTTTGAATAGTTCTAGATATAGAGAAAATTTGAGATGATAGTCCAGCAAATTCCTTATACTCTGCATGCAGTTTCCCTATTGTTAACTTATTACATGTATGTCGATCTACATGTGTGTTGCTTGGTGCATTTATTACAATTAGTGAACCAATATTTATTTATTATTATTTCAGTTCATACTTTGTTAGGTTTCCTTAGTTTTTACATAATGTCTTTTTTCTACTTCAGGATCCCATCCAGGATACTATATTGCATTTAGTTGCCATGTCTCCTTAGACTTCTCTTGGCTGTGACGTTTTCTCAAATTTTGTTTTAATGATCTTGACAGTTTTGAAAAGCACTAAGATCAATAACAGATATTTTCATGAGTGTTGGAGCTCTAGTTTCTTCACCTTGTGGTAGTGGTGGGATGAGTGGATCCTGTTTATAGTCTGGGCCTCGGTGTAGAGTTGAGTTTGATGCCCAATAATGATTTATCTGAGAGATTTATTGAAGAGGAGGGAGCAACAGAGACAGAATAAGACAGACTAAGAAGGAGGACGAGGAGGAAAAGTAAGAAGGATCTACCTACTTGGGGATCTCTGGGCTGTGTATGGGGAAAATAGGTAATTCCCCAGAGCATAAGCCAGGGCCCAAACCCAGGGAGGCTCCCTGCTGTCTACCCTGGGGCTGTTGTTAGATAGAACAAAAGGCCGGGGGCCCTGACGTTTCTTCTGAGGGCCCCTATTTTGAACTCTGCCACCAGTGAGGGCATAGAAGAGGGAGGGTGTTTGGGTTTTGGGCTCCTTTGTGATTTTTAACAAAAGAAGTAAGAGGACAAGTAACTTAATCTGTGGAAGAAAATTCCAGGACACAGAAAAAGAACCTGTTCTGGAGGGCTTGAAGAAGATCCAAACTTCTCACATCTCCCCACACAGACCTGGGAGGTGGGACTGGGTCCCAAGGGCAACATTATTTACATCACAAAGCCAGAATTTCATAAGGAGCAGCTCTCAGATCTGAAGTTCAAAGAGTTGTTCCTTGCATGGTTGCCAATCCCCTTTTATATGAAAGATTTGTTGGAAATAAGGCCAAACTTTGTCCAGCAAAAACTCTGATGACTAAGGCAGAGGCCACTCTCCTTCAATGACAAGGAACTTGGTGAGTGAGAAAGCAACTCTATTTGTATGCAGCCACTTGTGAAGGCAAAACTTGTTGAAAAGCTGCCTAGGTCTTTGCTGACGTATTACTGGTAATTGATAGTCTTTCTCAAGGACTGTGCTAATAAATACAGCTGGTTTTCATTTGTTTATGTCATTTAGAGGTGGGAAGAGGTTGGCTTTGTTATAATTTTGGTTTGTGAAAGTTAAGGCACATAATTTCCAGAGAAAGTGCTATTGTATATCATGCAATAAACCTGACTATGTCTGAATATAACTGAGTGTTGACCGATGCCAAACATATTTGCATTTCTCCTATCCTTCCAATGGCTACCACCTGCTTCTCCTTCCTTCATACCCTGATTGTTAAGGAAAATGCTTTAGGGTGGGTCCTTGATGACCTTCAAAGAGCCTATTCCTGGGGCTGATGCCTCTACTTGAGAAGGGTGGAAGAGAGCATGGGCCTAATATATAGCTGATTTAGTCTTCCCCACAGCATGCATACACCAGATAGCTCGTATGGAACCTTGCTTTGTTTGTATACCTATTAAAAATCAAAGCAGAGCATACATCTGTAAAATGCACTAATCTTAACTGTGCAGCTCAGTGAAGTTACATTTGTGTTTATCCACAAGAACCAACCTCCAAGATCAAGATAGAAACATTCCCTTCGCCCCAGCAAGATCCCATGTACCTCTTCTCATCCACTACCCACCTTCTTTCCACAGTGAACAAATCTGACCTCTATCACCATAAATTTGTTTCTCTTGTTCTAGAACTTTAAGTGGAATCATAAAAATTGATTTTTTTTTCATCCAACTTCTTTCACTCAATATGAATATTTGGGATTCAGCAATGTTGTTGCCTGTGTCCGCAGTTTGTTTCTTTATTGGTAAATAGTGTTCTACCTTATGGCTTTGTCAAGGTGAAGTTGTTCATTCCCCTGAAGATGGACATTTGGGTGGTTCTAGTTTGGGCTGACACTAGTCAGCTACTATGAACATTCTTCAGTGAACTTCTGGGTAAACACATACTCATTTCTGGTGGACAAATACCTGCAGTGGTATCGCTGTGTCACAATGTTTATTTATAGTAAGAGCAGTCAACTGTGATTGTATCAATCTGTGCGTGTGCTTTTGACATCTCACAACAGAGATTTTGTTTTGACACATTGAGGTGACTTCTCTGCACAGTCCTTATGGTCCTTATGGTCTCACTTAAACCTCATAAAAGTCCTTTGAGATGAAGGAAGAGTGGGGTCCCTGGTTTACAGATGAGAAAGGAAATTGAGCCCTCAAGCAAGTTAGCATGCACTGCTGGCAAGTAGTAGTCTTGCTTTTCGATGGGAAGTCTAACTTGAGGGCCTTCAGGCTTACCCACATTCACAAATTAGGCACGCGCGTGTGTGTATATGTTGGGGGTGGGGGTGGCAACAGTCTTCATTCCATTTTACAAAAGAAGCAAGTGAAGCTCAGAGAGGTTAAGGCTCCCTTCTCCATGGAGTCAGCTGGGCCTGCCTCCCTGCCAGGCTATTTCTTAAAGATGGAATATTGTAGTGAAATGACTGTTCGGACCTTTGCCAGTTGGCCTCTGTGGCTATCAACTGTGGCCTTGAATGCAGGAAGCACTTGAGCGCATGGGCTGGGGGGCACATGTGCCTGATGGTGGGCAC